AATGTCATTAAACTTTCAATTCCATATGATCAAGCACTTATTGAAAATCTACAAATGATTTTAAAATATGTTATATAATGATATATATAATGATGCCTGCTTTCCTCTTTTACATCACCTACACACATGCAAGTCTGGTGAGAGAGAACAAAGCCAATAGTTGTGGAACTCCAGTAAGTAAGGCTGTCAAGGCTATTTTATTCACTTAAATATCGGATGAAGTGATTATCTTCTCTTTAATACAGATGATGTCAATGTATTTTTCGATGAGTCCACTATGTTGGCAATAGGCTTGTTTGAGATGCACCTCACCTCGCCTGAAATGAAGATGAGAGTAGGCGGCTGCAGTGAGTGGAGGAGTGAAATAAGCTCAGGCAAGACGGACAGTTCTTGACAGAGCGCAATATCACGGTTGTCTGAACCAATGAGCATTAAGCTGTGTCGTCAGTCAGTCGTTTCCCACCATGCCGCCTCGCCGTCGCGAGAGTTTTTTGGCACACGTCAGCATGACATCAGAGCAAGTCATATGTAACTCGGACACTTTTCTAACCGGCATGCATCTCGCGGTGATCGGTTCTGGGCAGATTTTGCTCATCTCAAACAAGCCTAATAATAACATTACCCAATTCCACATGAAAACCGCAGACTTGGCAACACTGTGACGGATAGTAATGTCTACAATGGACACGAGCGCTGTCTTGGCACGACCACAACAGCTTTAATTTGTCTAATATGGCACGGTCTCCCTGCTGCACTAATAATAGTAAGCCATTCCTCTGTGTATACATATCAGAATCAGAATGAGCTTTATTGCCAGGTATGTTTACACATACGAGGAATTTGTTTTAGTGACAGAAGCTCCACAGTGCAACAGAATGACAGTGACAAGACAGGACACAGATAATAAAAAGAATAATATCAAAATAGACAATGTACAAAAAAGCAAAAACACAATATATAATATAGACAATTTTGTATGTACAGGTATGATATGTGCAAATTTAAAATATAAATAAGTATGTGTGTTAAATAAATAATGTATACTAGTGTTGTGTGTTCCACGATTATTGTTAAGTGTTCATGAGATGTATTGCCTGAAGAAAGAAACTGTTCCTGTGTCTGGTCATTCTGGTGCTCAGTGCTCTGTAGAGTCGACCAGATGGGAGTGTGCTGGATATGAGGGGTCCACAGTGATTTTGCTAGCCCTTTTGCTCACTCTGGATGAGTACAGTTCTTGGAGAGAAGGGAGGGTTGAACCAGTGATTCGCTCAGCAGTTCGGACTACCCTCTGTAGCCTTCTGAGGTCAGATTTGGTAGCTGAGCTGAACCAGACAGTTATGTCAAGAAGTGCAGAGAATGGATTCAATAATGGTGGAATAGAACTGTTTCAGCAGCTCTTGTGGCAGGTTGAACTTCCTCAGCTGGCGAAGGAAGTACAACCTCTGCTGGGCCTTTTGACAATGGACTCAATGTGATTGTCCCACTTCAAGTCCTGAGAGATATTGGTGCCCAGGAACCTGAATGTCTCCACTGTCGTTACAGTGCTGTTCATGATGGTGAGTGGGGGGAGAGCAGGGGGGTTCCTCCTGAAGTCCACTATCATCTCCACAATTTTGAGCGTGTTAAGCTCCAGGTTGTTAAGACTGCACCAGACAGTCAGCTCTTTAACCTCCTGTCTGTAAGCAGACTCGTCACTGTCCTGAATGAGGTCGATGAGTGTGGTGTCGTCTGCAAACTTAAGGAGCTTGACAGAGGGGTCTTTAGAGGTGCAGTCATTTGTGTAGAGGGAGAAGAGCAGTGGGAAGAGGACACAACCCTGGGGGCGCCAGTGCTGATCGTACGGGTGCTGGATGGGAATTTTCCCAGCCTCACTAGCTGCTGCCTGTCTGTCAGGAAGCTGTTGATCCACTGACAGACGGAGGTGGGCACGGAGAGCTGAGTTAATATGGGCAGGAGGAGGTTTGGGATGATAGTGTTAAATCATAATATCCTTACAAGTACAATTTTAGCTGTATTATTTGTGATCCCTTTAAAAATTGCTTTTGAGAAATTTTATGTTTATTGTCCCTCCCCAACTGTTAGACGAAATGTACGCCCCTGGGTAGGTTTAAGGGTTGGTTAAAGGGTCAACAGTGTACAGGGGTCAATTTGATTACTATAAGGGAACACGGCTCAGACTGCTTATATTATATTGTTTTGATAAATGAAAATGTCTTTTCTTTTAAAAATTAGTTTTCTACTGTTTAGATTGGTTACTGCAAAAACATGAATAAATGATTAATACATGTCTAGTAAAGAGGTGTGAATCGGGTAAATTCAGGTCTTTTGGGACAATTTTTGCCATTGAGATGACTGCTCATAAAGGTATTAAGGATTAGTAAACATTTATAAACATTTGCAAATGATGAATAATTTCCACTTTTGATTGGGTACTGCAAAAACATGAACAAATAATTAATATATTATTTGTTAAGATGTGTAAATAGAGGTCTACACAACAAACGAAGATCATATGACCTGAAAGTTTACTGACATTTGTAAGCATTTCAATTTACATTAAATAATCATATGTTAATAATTAGGTAATGTTTAGTAAGTTCATTACTAAACATTAACAAGAACATTATCTCAAATTTCTAGCTATGTGAATATGTATTAACTAATGATCTGTTAAGTATTTCATAATGTTTGTTAATGATTTATAAATTAAACTTATTATAACGTGTTACCGAAATCTGATCTCACCGTCATCCAGTTAGTCTGGGATTACATGAAGAAACAGAACCAACTGAGACTTAAGCCTAAATCCATATAATAACTGTGGCAACTTCTTCTAGATGCTTGGATTTATTTTAGTTAGAAAAAAAAAAATTATATATATATATATATAATTTTTTTTTTTTGTGATGCAAAGCTGAATTTTCAGTATCATTACTCCAGTCTTCAGTTCACATGATCCTTCTGCCCAAGAAACAGTTGTTATCAGTATTAATTTTGAAAATAATTTTTGCTGCTTAATATTTTTTGTGTAAACTGTGATACACTACCACTACCAAGTAAGATTGTTCTGTTTATTTTTCCTTTTCTTTCCTTTATTTAGCAATGACACATTCAGTGGATCAAATTGACAGTAAAGGCATTTATAATGTTACAAAATATGTATGTCTGTTTTATGAAAATGATGTTCATTGAACTTTCTACTCATCAGAGAATTCTGAAAAAAAATTATCACAATTTCCACAAAAAAATCGCAAAAACTCCTATCAACATTGATACTTGTTATTATGAGTGTTGATATGAGTTTTTGCAATTTACATTACATTACTAATAACTGAGCACCAAAATAACAATTGAGTATATTATAATTTCTTAAGGATTAAAAAAAAACTGATAGTACATATTATTATGAAAGCATCCTCAAGTGCCTAAAACTTTTAACTGTACTGTGCATTGCAACTAGGTGGTAAAATTGATCTAAAAATAATTGTTCCCAAAAGCTATAAGTAACCATTTAAAAACAAATGTTTTTGAGAAGCATTTAATATGCTTAAGACTTCCGCATACATTATAATGTGGGTGGAAGAATTAAACATTTCACTGAACTTCAGCTTCTTAGCTTTAGCTTTGGATGAAGTCACACTAATACATGTTTTATATTTATACATTGTGTGTGTATATATATATATATATATATATATATATATATATATATATATATATATATA